GCTGAACAGCATGACTACATATGCGCTCCAAAAAGTATAAAACATCCATCTTAAAGATGTATGCAAGTAGGTGTTCCATTTAAAAACAATGGAAACTAACAGTCCAAATGTTTTCTTACTTAAATTATTATTTATAGTTTTTAAAATTTACTCATTTTTTCATATTTATGATCTCCATGTTAGAGATTACATGTCCTTAAAAATTAAGTCCAAAATTCCATCTCAAAAATAGATTTATTAATAGGATCTCATTTCTACATATGCAGGCTTAGCCGCATAGAGACCGGGTCCTAGTGGAAATCTTTGTGATAGCTTTAAAAATATATTTGCATCTCTAATTATACAATTTAAAGCTTAAAGAATGGTATAGATCGAGAAAATTTATGAAAACTTGAAAATTTTGAAAATTAACGATCCAAAAATGCATTATAAGATGTGCTATTTCCAAAATTTTAAATCCATTTTTTTCTCATGTTCATGCATCTTGACGTCGAGATGATCAATTTGATGATAGGTATATGCTGGCAAACCATTTTCACGTAGTTCAATAAAAAAGCATACAACTGACAAAGTAAGCCCAAGAGGGCATCTTCACGAGAGTTCAATAAAAAAAAAATAATAATCACGAGAGTTCAATAAAAAAAAAAAAAAACGTAAAAGGAGACCCAAATTTATAAGAGGCTGCAATAAAGCGTACCTTCAAATAATATTGAGGACAGCATGACTACAGTTCAAAAAGTATAAAATATTCATCTCAAAAATAGATACAAGTAGGTGTTCCATCTAAAAACAATGGAAACTAATGGTCCAAATGTTTTTTTACTTAAATTATTATTTTAAATTTTTAAAATTTACTCATTTTTTCATATTTATAATCTCCATGTTAGATATTACATGTACTTAAAAATTAAGTGCAATTCAAAAATAGATTTATTAATTGGCTCGTATTTCTATATATGCGGGCTTGGCCATAGAGGGACCGGGTCCTAGTGGAAATCTCAGTGATAGCTTTAAAAATATATTTGCATATCTAATTATCTTAAAAGATAGTATATATTGAGCAAACTTATAACAACTTAAAATTTTTAAAAATTGACAATCCAAAAATACCTTATACGATGTCCTATTTTCAAAACTTTAAATCCATTTTTTTCTTATCTATACATTTTGATGTCAAGATGGTCAATTTGAAGATAACTATGCTCCGATGAATCATTTTCACATGGTTCAATAACAATAGACCAAGTAGGCCCAAGTGGGCCCCTTGAGGGAGTGTTGGGTATACGATAAAGCATCTTCAGGTGAGTTCAATGACAAAAAAACAAACGACGTACAAAGTAGGCCCTCCCCACATTTATAAAAGGCCGCGGTTTGTACAAACCAGCGTTTTAAAAAACGCCGAGTCGAACCGGACTCGCCCGGTCCGACTCGGAAATAGTGAAAAAGGAACCGGATCGCCCAAAAATCGGAAATCGTCAGGTTCTAGAGAGAACCGTACGATTCTGTACAGTGAATCGCCGATTCACTGTACGGAATCGGCGAGTCTGAACAGTGCATCGGCGATTGAGTTACGGTTTTAATTTTTTTTTTTTTTTTTTTTTTTTTTTTTTTTGGTAATCCTATGATTAGATTTTTTTGTTAATCCATGATTCGAATTTTTTGGTTTTTTGTAACCCATAATTAGAATTTTTTGTAATCCATGATCGTAAATGTTTG